ACCCGGGCTGTGAACACTCGCAGGGACGGTGACTCCAGCCCTGCCCTGGGCAGCCTGTTCCAATGCCTGAGCACCCTCTGGGGGACAACGTTTTTCTCTCAGCACGTCCACACTTGCAGAAGTGCCCACCCAAGTGAGTCTCCTCCCCACAGGCTCCTCCACAGACACTTGGAGAGCCCATCAGTCACAGCTAGCCGTTCATCTCAGCCTGCCGCTCGCTCCTGCCCTCATCTGGATAAATCCTGCTATCATAGAATCATAGAACAGTTAGGTTTGGAAAGGACCTTAAGATCATCTAGTTCCAACCCCCCTGCCACGAGCAGGGACACCACACACTAAACTATGTCACCCAAGGCTCTGTCCAATCTGGCCTTGAACAAGTCTTTGCTGACTGCAGAAGGTGACCGCCTCAGAGGTGGACCTCTGAGAATTAGCCTAACAAATTCCATCTTACCCTACATCTTGCACTTGCTTCTCTGACTTGGGGCTTATAAAGTGTAATTTCTACCTTCATGTTTTTCTAAACAAAGAGTCTGCAATAACTTCATTTTGAGATGTCTCATGACAGGGAGTTGTCATGCCATTAGTGGGTTTCTGCCCCAGCAGCAGCAATTTGCTCCTTCTGGTGAAGCTGCAATAGCTCCATCCCTCGGTGTTTCTACCTGCAGAACAGGGATGAGTCACGTCCTCCTTTGGAGGAGAGGAGTGCTTTGAGATCTACAGGACACAAGTGTGCTCTATTGGACCTGTCTCCTTAGCATGCAGTCAGCTTGGGCTCCCAAAGCTTCTCAGGCAGGTGTGGATTTTCCATATATGAGTATCTCAAGTTATCCCCACTTGGAGGACAGCCTAAGGCTTCCTCGTATTGCCACTATCCTCTCGAGCTCAAGGGCTCTGTGCTGTGAGCTCCCACTCCACCCCAGCATTAATGTCACCCACATGCTCTGCTCCAAGAAGATACTCACCCCCGAGAGACTGATACTTGGAGGTTATAGCTGGGAAGCAGTGGCTTGTCTGAGAACTCAAAGAGGAAGTTGTCTGCATCTTGATCCTCTTCCTCCTGGTCTGAACTTCCCGGAGGGTTGAGCAGAAGATCACATCCAATGCTATCCTTCCCCTCTGCAACAAGCAAAACAGACATCAGCATCCTTCACAGTTTCACACCAGCCAGTGCTCATCACTCCCCCGGGAACAGCTCTGCACAGCTGGACTGGCTACCACCACAGTCCCACGTCCACGACATCCCAGCAGCTCTAAAAGCAAAGTCCCAGGAGCTCCTCTATAGGAGTGTGTCAGCAATGGTGCCTAAATACAGGCAGCAAGGCTGTGGCACCAAACCATGCGCAGATCTAGAGACCAACACAACCCAACATGAATAAGCATGACTTCAGAGACTCAGCCCCACAGATTTCTGGCTTAAAGCTGGCTGTCCCAGGAGGCATGTGAGCACCAGCAGGATTTGCTTCATAGGAAATGGAGAACAGCACACTTGAGCCATAAACCATTTAAAGACAGTTAAATTTACTATTCGCCAATCTGAAAAGCATCTGTCGAAAAATAGCTTGCTGCCTGGATTTTATTAAGAGGTATGAATAGTCTTGCGTTTGCAGAGTGGTTTTGTCCTGCTGAGATAATACACGATAACTCCAAAAACTTCCCACTAAATAGAGGTTAGGTTCTACAGAGAGAAGGCAGACCAAATGTGCTGGTGAGCAAATAACCCGATCATGCCATAGTCCAACATCACACGTGAGAAAGCTCCACACCCCACACTGCTCTATGAATGAACGCAGCCCCCAGCAAGAATGTCATTTAACACAGAAACAAGAGACAGGCTCCAAGAGGGTCTCAGGGAAAAAAAATAATCATTTCTCAGTCTGCCCAGGGGAAAAAAAGAAAAAAAAAATCTCTAAAAAACAGGGAGAAAAGGTGCTTGAATCGTCAAAACTTCCTGTAGAACAGGACAAAAGTAAGTGACAGGAATATTGGTGCAACATCACTGCTGGCGAAGCTCAGAGGCCACCACTGAAAAGCCTCACGTCTCTTGAGCAACCCAGGAAGAAAGAATTTAAATGCAATGACATGGCAAGAGCGTGGTCCAGTGTTGACCCTGAACACTCTCCTCACTCAGTCCTCTCCCTTCGAAGGCTGGGACAAGAACAGGGACATCCTGTACCACTGCCAGTAGCAGGGAGACAATCAGGCACAACTATGCTAGTCTCAGGTGTAGAACAAAACCCTGGAGCAGGGTTTGGTGGTTGGAGCAACAGCATCACCAAGTGCAAGATACTGGTGACTTTACCATACTCAGACCTCAGAGATCCCACACCCTGGCTTCCCTCATTATCTCTTGGCCCCCAGAGATCTGCAGATCTAAAGGAAAATGTAGACAACATTCCTGCCTCAAAGAATAGCAACAGATAGGAGCTGTGGCCTGGGATTTCTCCTTCACATGAAGGGACATGCAATGCTTCGAGCTTCAGCTGGTGGGTCTGATGGATCCATCCCCCAACAAACATCAAGAGGTGACGGTTTACTTACTGAAAAGCAAACTTTCTTTTTGCCTCCGGGCGGGAAGGACAGAAATGTGGGAAGACAAGATGCAAGACAAGATTATTCAAGACGAGCCAAGGGATATGGAAATAAAAGAACTGAAAGAAGCAGATAATTTGAACTTGCTCGTCTGAGATCCACTTGTTTCACTTCAGGCATCAGGGTATACAAAAAACAAGACAGCACATTTCTAAATCACTTGCATGCAGCAGTGGGTCTCCTAAAGGGTATGAGAACTGGCAGTTTGCAATCCCATTCTAGGATCTTAAAGAGGAAAGGGCACTGCTGACTGGGACATAAGCAGATGCTAGAACTCAAGCACATAAACCCTCTGGGTAACCAAGAACTCAGCATGTTGTAGTAACCAAAGGGAGCCAAACTCTCCTGCCCACAAAACCACACACAATTGTCCTTCGTTTATCAGAGAAAATTCAAGTGGGAATCAGTGATCAATCAAAAAGGGTAGTATTTTTACTTTTAAAATATTACAGCCAAAGAACAGCTGTTTTTTCTTGTGGTGAAGAGGCTTCTTCTGAAAGGATCACGACAGCTTTGAGGGTGAGAAATTCGGAGGAAGGAGGCTGCAGCTTGAACTGTTTCCTCGGCACACCTGAGGTGCAAAAGCCTACAAACAAAAGGAGTACAGAATTCCTTCTGTTTTGAAAGGAAGAGACATCAGGGTCTTCCAAGGAGAAGCAAGGGCACCCTTCCAGAGGTATCTGATTTTTCTGCGCTTCTAGAAGGATGCTGGAAATGACACAGGTAAGCAGCTAAAATCAAGAGCCTTGTATCTTGGCAGTGTAAATAACCCAAGTCTTTACGAAGGGCCTGCGAGTGCTGACCTACTGCCTCCGAAGTGGCTAGGAGGGACTCTGCAGTCTGCCACAGGCCCATGGCTACATCCAGAACATCTTCATTCATGGGCCCTGGGGGAACTGGAGCAACACCATGAGCGATCTGTAGACCTTGTGCCTGTGTTGTTTTGAGAGAACTTCTAAGCAGGTCACCACAACTTTCAGGAAGGGACAGCAGAAGGCACAGGTCTTGCCTTCCCTGGGAAATGCCTGGCACTGTAAGCAGAGGACCTGCCCCAGCCAAATGCCTGCCCTCCAGAGCAGAAGAGAGGGAACCTTGAAGAAGTTCAAGACTTCTAGCACCTCAAAAGAATAAGTATGTCCTCTGTGTGCCTTGGTTTTATCTTTTATGACTGGTTAGCAGGGGAGCAACAAGAAGTGCTACAAGAATAACATGCTCTGGGATCGATACCCAAAGACCCTTAGGAATCACCAGCAGCACCTAAGTCCAGTCTTGCACATCATGCTCAGCCCACAGGAGGGATCCATGCATGCAGCTTCCCAAAGAAAAAGTCCCTTTTAGGAGCAACCCCCAACACGTAGCATTATGGTAAGATCTCTGACAAAGCTGTGAGCTGGGAGGGACACAGACAGATCAGAGTGAATGAGGGGTTGCTGCCTGGCATTACATCTCTCTGCTCTGCTGCTGTACATAAAATGGCACAGGCTGAACTCACCTAGGACAGAGCTGCTGTAGAAGTCCCACGCTGTTCGAGGATCCCCATCCGTGCGCCCCTGGAGATCCGAAAGATAATCTAGAGAAAAGATTGAGAGGGTTAATGCTTACCTGCTGGACAAAGCATGAGCCTGGCATGCACATCCATTGATCCCGGGTGACCCCTTCACCTCTGCTGCTTTTCCCCACTTTGCAATTAGGGATTATGGCAAAAGCTGAACCACAACTTGCAGGAAACGTACCCTCACTCTGAAGAGGACAATGTGGCCCCAGCCTGAGAACATGAAATAGAAGCTGAAAAGGGAAAACAACTGACAACACCCAATGCGTTGGAAAGAAAGGTTCTTAGGGTGGCCTTGAGTTCAAAGTGACATCTCCAACACCTGCGCGTGTAGTTAAGCCTGAAGGAGCTCAGACAGACAGCTAGAAAACAAGATTTCTCCTGGCTATTGTGTAGAAGCCAACACTCATCTCGCCTCTATGCAAAGAGTGCAGCAAGCAGGCAGGCCTCACTCCACCACAGGGATCCCAGGCGGTCGGTCCCTCCTGACAAGGGCAGGTAGGCATTTGGGCAGAGATGTTTGAGTAGAAGGCACTGTTACTTGGCAGCAAAAACCTGTTCCTTAGGTTATGCAGTAGAACCAGGAACTGTGGAACAGTGTCTCCAAGCGTCGTGCGCAGCACTGTCTTTAGTTGTGTGACCAGAGCATTGCCGTCTCCTTGCACACTAAAGACTGAAAAGCGACTTTTACCTTACTTGGAAAACAGTACACAATCCTGTAAATTAAAGTTTGGGTGGCAAACATACAAACACACATGACAGGACAGAGCTCAGATTATTCAGTCCCCTGCTGCTCAAGCCCTTCTAAACCCTCTGACACCCACAGCTGGTCGCATATGCTGCCACACAGGAAGAGTGGAAGCACTGCTACCACTGGGCTTGGCACCTACCGCAGAGGAAGCGCTTCATCACCTCGCTGGTGGCAAGCTTCACAGCTGTCTGCCCAGAGTAAGTGGCCAGAGTGGGATCAGCACCATAGGAGAGTAGAAGCCACATGGTTTCCAGGTTGTCATTTGCTACTGCGTCATGGACAGGCCTGCAAGGACAGAAGCACTGATAGAAAAAGAGAAAGGCAGAGTTTGCAAAGCAAATGCTGTTTCGGATTATCACGAATCTAGCGACGACCAACAGCTCATCCTGAAAAACACACCCTGCTCCCTGCCCTGACGCTTGCCAGGGCTTCCCCAGATGCTCCCCTCTCAGTGCCTTGCCTAGTGCCGTCCTGCGCGCTGCAGTTCACGTTGGCGCCGTGCTCGAGCAGGATGTGGAGGATGTCGATCCAGCCTCGTGCACAGGCTTCGTGCAGCGCTGTGTAGCCAGCGTTGTCACGATGGTTCACGTCACTGCTCTTCTTCTGCAGGCAATACAGCACCACATCCTACAGGAGCGAGAGCGTTGGGGACCTGGTTACACACGAACCCAGACAGGGCAGCACAGGGGACACTGGGCACCAAAACTCACCTTGTAGCCCAGGCGAGCTGCTCGCTGCAGAAGGGTCTCCCCTGCATTTTTGTTCACAATCAGCCGCCGAGCTCCAGGAGGAATGTTCTGGGCTGGGGGCAGTTCGGGGGAACTCCCTGGGCTGACCCGATGGGACTTGTGAAGCGTCCACAAGTCCTGGGACTTCTTCAGAGAGTGCATTTTGGGCTGATTCCAGCAGCCTTTCCCCTGCAAAAGTAAAGAATGCGACTCCTTGGCTTACTAACAGGATTCCTTTCTCTCTTCTCCACACACATGTTCCCCTCCCCAGTTCAGGCCATACCTTTCCCTCATCACAGATCCCTGCCAGGTGTTTGGTTTTACATTTGCGTTTTCCTGATGGCTTCTCCAGTTCTTCTTGGGCAGGAGAGCTGTCAGAGTGCTCCAGGAAGAAGCCATTCCGAAAGTCTGGGCGTCCTTGAGATTTTCGGGGTGATGGGGAAAGCCTGCTCCTCAGCCGTAGCTCTGTGCCTTTACCCTTCACAGACTCCTTCTGCTTCCGGTGCCTAAACTCTAGAGGAGAAATAGGAATGAGGAGCTTCTGGAGGTGCAGTGCCAAAGGCCGCCAGGCAAAACAAACTGCTGATCTTGGATGGCTGCACATCCAGAGGCGCAGACCCACGGCAGAGGCACCGCAGCAAGTGGAAGCAGAGTGAACACACAGGTTCTCCCCACCAGGGATGGACTCTGCATGGACACAAGACACCCAATGGCAGTCGTTGTTCTGGCCTCAAAAAGGCCAAGCCTACCTAGAGCTGGGGCTCACACACAACTGACCACAGCTTAGGTCTGACTGTATGAAACTATCCAGCAGATCACTCCAGCTTGTACCTGAAGATGATGCAGATTCTTTAGCTAGTACAGGACACAGCACTCTGCAAACACATGGGCTGGCCCCGTCCCTCCTCTGGCTGCCAGCCTGCTCACAGCGCGCAGGTCCTCATCTCCAAAGCCAGTGATGGCTCTAGGCCACAACTTCTGAATCCAAAATACAGAAACTTACTCATCTGAGGGGCAAGCAAGCAGTCCCTGAGGGAAACTGGCTTCTGGACAGAAGACAGACACTCATAAGATGTGTGGTAAAGCTCCTGGGGAAAACCCTCCTGAATGCTGCTGCACTCAAACCTCCTTCTCAGGCTCTCTTTGAAACAGGCACCAGCAGAGGCCAGTCTGAGAACACTCGTGAACTGCAAAGTTGCCAGGAAGCCCATCAGAAACTTTACTGCTGCTCTCACAGGGACACACAGACATAAGACACCGCAGCAACAGAGTAAAACTGTGCCAGAGCAGAAACAGAGGTTGGGACATCAGCTGGTGGGAGTGCAGCAGCCATCTCTACGACTTCTCACGGCACCTCAGAGCACCTCAGCACCTCCTGAGGACTGTCGATCTGAGCACTGATCTGGCAGAAGGCAACAGGTTCGTACCCACTACACCACCTCCAAGAGAAAGGCCCAAGTCGACGGAGGGCTGGCAGAACTGCTTCCCCCAAGCCCATGGCTCAGACACAGTCTCCTGCAACCCTGGCAGAAGTCACCTGTGGGACTCTCGGACACAGCTACAAGCTACCAGCCATCAGCACACCCCGAGACATCATGCACTGCTGGCTGAGCCCCAGCCTTACATCCTACAGCCTCAAACCTGCTCCTGCCTCAAACTCCCATCCGGACAGAGAGGAGGGACTGCAGACTGCTAAACCTCAGGGAAACGCAGGTCACAGGCTCGGTGTGACCGCATGGGCTGGGCAGTGCTGGTAGAGCAGCGAGCAGGATGCGAGCACGTACCACAGCGCAGCGAGGGGTTTCTCTGTCACCTGCAGACACTCCAGCTTTGTTAATCCTCTCACCCTTGTGCTCCCTGGTGCAAGCTTGCAAGTTGCCTTAATAAAGGGACACAGAGCATAAGGACGCCCAGCTGAATTGTAGTGGCTCCACATCCTTCTCCTTTAGTCAGGAATGCTGAACACTGCTCCCAGGGGCCCGTGCTTGTCCAGAAATACTTCACTGCACTACCTCGTCTGATACTCATTTTCCCACGCCCTCTGTCTTAATCTGAGGGTAAGACCAGTATCTTAATTAGTCACATAAGGCTGTTCTTTCCTACTCCAAAGTTTACTGTAAATATTTTGGAGAGAAGAGCTGGTCAGTTGAAGCCTGCTTGATGCTGTGGACATCAAGCCACTAATAACAATGGAATTTCATCATTATAGAAATAAACCAAAACACCAAAAAAACACCAGAAAAATCCCACACACAATAGAAAAACAAAAACCAAAACCCAACAAGAAGCCCCCGTTTGTCCCCAGCTTGGTACCAGAAACCCCTCCCCAGGTTGTACCTGCTTTGGATTTCCGCCTCCTGTGGGGGTAGCCCACTCGCTCCTCCTCTCGCTCCGTCAAATATTCCCCTGTCTGGTACTTCTGACTTTTCTGTCGTCTCCTTTTCTTCCTTTTGACGTGGCTGTCATCGTCATCCTCCTCCTCCTCGTTGGGCTCCCACAGCTGCCTGGGTGATTCCACTCTCCATGGCAGGTCCCGGGTCCTCCTTGTGTAACAGCTGCTCCTCCCGGACACAGACCTGTCCCTGGCCCTGTGGCTGTGGTAGTGGGATGTCCTGTGGGATTTTCGCAGCTTGCGGCGTTTCAAAGATGTCTCCTCCTCCTCTTCTTCCTCCTCCTCTTCCTCCTCCTCCTCTTCTTCTTCCTGATCCTCCTCCAGCAACGGTAGAATCTCCTGACCAGTTACATCACATTCTCCCGTCACACCAGCAGAAGAGCCAGCAATGCTTCCTGCAAAAAAAGTGGGATTTCTAGCTGACAAAAGAGCCAGGGGTATCTACAAGAACAACGCTGCGAAGCAGGGCAGAAGATAGGGCCAAGGCCATGTAAAAAGGGAAACGCTCATGGTCCACCCAAGCCTCCTTCCCGGCTCCCCTGGCCCCGACTCACCCGACTGGCTGCGTGTCCGGCTGCTCAGCACCACCGGAATGAAATCCCGAAAGTTGTTCTTGGGTTTCTTCTCAAGGTAACCTGTGGGGAAAACGTGAGCCTTGAGGAAACAGGCCACAGATCTGTGCACGCACACGTCTGCTGGCCTGGCAAGGGCAGTCCAGCACCACGCTGCAACTCTGGTTTGGATCCCAACCCGCTGTGGGAAGCCACTGCGTCAGGAGCCGCTGCAGCCTGACCCCGCAAGGACACAGGGCCGTGCCCCGAGTACCTTCCTCGCGGCTGTCCCCGCGCTGCACCGGCGATGGCAGCTCCGTCTTCGCCAGCCTC